ACATTCGAGGCGTAATGCGCTTTGACGGAGGAGGATTCTGAACAGAGTCTAACAGTGCTGGTCAAACATCAAGTAATGTTCAACTGAAGCTGTGCTAATCATCTCCTCTACTGATACAGGCTACAGTCACCCGTAACCTATTTTTGAACATTCACTTTCATTAATACGACGAACTATACATATATACTTAGTGTGGTATGTACTTGAGGCTGTTCTTTTTGCCATAAAATGCACATCTTGCACAGAATGTAGTTTACTTTCTGCTGAGAGAGTTGGTTTGTTTCATTTATATTTCAGAAATGGAGATGAAGCATATTTGGCCGATGGGATCTCACCGATGATGATTTCAGTTCAGTTTTCCGTTCAGTCATCTGCTGAGCAGTTCTTAGATAAAACATTTCGAATATACCATCTGTCTCAATTACGTTGCCATAGGCTATATTGATGAAGTGACTGTGAATCAGCACTTAAAGTTAAATTACGTAAATTCAAAGATTGGAATGAAAGTTTTTTCAGCTTTGGATCTCGAACGTAGCACATAAAAAATAAATTACGAAACGAAACAACATTTGACTTCGACACTCTGCATATACCCAATTAAAACGGAGGCGGACACTTAATCTTTCTCCATTGTTAAAGTAAAAACCATTCGAGGCTGTAGTGACTGAACAAGAAGACAGACTGCATTCAATCAGGCATGGCATGAACTCTTTTCAGTTTAAAAACTGAAGTTATTCAGTTCAAAGTAATGGCTGTTTAAAATTGTTATGTAGAATATAGAAATGGTTTAAAGCCTGTTTACAATGCAGTGACATTATGAACGGCAACTGGTGCGTGTAAGGCAGCATTATTCGTTAAAGAAGGGAATATCATTCTACTAACTTTATGTGCTGTGACTTCGGTAACGGATTCCAGCGGAAGCATTATCTGACCGTGCATTGCAGATCGGCAAGTATGAATGCAAAGTTACTAACGGCATGAAGCTGAAAAAACTTCTAAGGAAGTTTGATAGGACCGATTCAATCCATTACACTAGTCACGACGGAAGAACCCTGAATAAGACGTCGCAGGAAACATCAGATGGTTCAGACGTTGTTGAATCTGTACCATTCAGTTCGCTCAACTTCTGGCAGCCAGTGAAGCAGGTAGTTCCCAGTCTTAAAGGCACTGAAGCCCGAGCTCTGAAAAAATGGGAATTCGCTATATTCTCGAAGTACATGGACCATCTCTACTTTTTTCGATTGAGATCGCACATCGGTGCTGAACGGGCAGATGACAGCGACTTCTTGCAGGCAGAGACACCGATCAACGATGACTCATTTCAAAGAGAAAACGTTAAGGCTGAAATTGCTCGACAGACGACCTCAGCAGAGGGCTTAGAGCCAAAAGCAATGCCACAACGTTTAAACATCCGCCAAACCGTACTTGAACTTACGGATACTTTCCTCTCCGAGAGTGATGTGTACCGTCACCACAGGGTACACCTTCGGACAATTGCATGCAGTTTCGTCCGCCAGCATTGGCCTGCACTGAAACGGACGTGTCATGCTGTTGCGCATCATTCGGAATGGAGGATCAGGCGGATATTCGCATTCTCAATGCATGAATTGGCGCCGGTGTTGGGCCCTAAAGTCTCAGAAGAGGATCTGCTGCCCATCTGCATAAGTCTTCTGCACGACCTCGACAAAGTGAGGATCGGCATCTTGTACAATCTGTATGATTTTGTGAAACTGCTGAATAAAAACGCACGCCGGGCATTGCTTGGCAATTTGGCGGATTTCCTACACAGAGACAACGTTCGTGACTGGCGTTTTCGACACCTCTTTGCTCAGAAACTCATTCCCTTATGCGCCTTGTACGAAAGTGAAGACATTAACAAATATATCAGTCCTATTGCCATGATGTTGGCCGTCGATTCGGTGGATGAGGTTCGTCGCATGGCTTTCAAACTCGTGGGCACAGTTTTCAAGTGCTTCAACGACAGGGAGAAATTGGTCGGAGAAACTCTTCCGATGACAGACAGATTTCTAGAAGAAATTGTAAGCTGCTTTGCCTATTCACGTCATTGGAGACGCAGACAAACGTTTGCTTATATATGTGACGAAGTGATGCATCAGAAGTCATTTACAGCAGAAAAATTCAACGATGCTCTGTTCCCTGCCTTACTGGAATTGGCGTCGGATCGAATCCCTAACATCAGAATCGCTGTGGCGAAGGTTCTGTCTAAGAATACAGACTATTTTGTAAAAAGCATGATGACAGTCGATTTTGAAGCAGTGCTAAAAACGTTGGCCGACGACTGCGATGATGACGTCAGAACATGGGCAACCTTCAAGTCACACCTTTGCGTCTCTTGCAAAGGTGTCGAAAGTTAACGATTTTCCTTGTTTAATTTCAGTCGCCAGCAGTTGAGTACCTACCTATTGGATTCACGAAGTTCGACTTCGCACGAGGCACGGTCCTATAGGAATGATAGTAGTTGCCATGTAGTTCATGTCGCAAAAATATATGGTGAATAATAGGAATTAAT